GGCTCGCAGGGCGCCGCACCGCCCCGCCGGCGGCGCCCCTGCTGGCCGGCCGCGGCGGCGCGGCGGCGGCGAGCCGCCTCGCGCCGGCCCGGCGGGACAGCCGGATCACAAACTCGCTGGCGCCTTCCCGCAGCTCCTCGATGCCCTGGAGCAGCGTCACCCGGTGACCCAGGGGCCCGATGCCAAGCTCTGCCTGCAGTGCGTGCGGCCGAAATTTTGCGATTCCAGCCGTCTGCTGCGCGACGCCACACAAAACACCGACACCAACCCTTGGTCCCAGCAATTATGGATTCTCTCAGCATCACAAACCAGGCTCAAGCAGGACATAGACGCTTGCTACTGCGGGCCTCCGTTCCGCTGCCGCCCAGCCCCGCGCCCACGGCGCCCACGCAGCGCTGCTCCACACACGGTGTTGGCCCGCAACAATCGTTGATCCCTCTGGCCCACGCAAACAAATAACATATTGTTTGGAATCCTGGTGAGTTCTGCACCCAAAAAGCCCCTCAAACCCCCCAATCCTCACAGCCGCCGGTCTCCCAAACCCCCGGCGAACCCCTACACATTGAGGTCCCCGACCCCTGAAGGGTCTGAACATCTGTAGGAACCGCACGTCCCTGTACCCCAGAGCCCTAGGGGTTTCCCAGGCAACGCCTCCAACTCACCCCGGGCCCCCTCACCTTGAGCTCCGCGTCCCCCAGCCGCAGCAGCAGGCTGCCATCTACCACGTGGTGCAGGAAGCGGTGGCGGTACTGCTCCAACCCCACCGCCGCCACCCAGTCGCACACCTCGCGGACTGCGTGGGGCGGGGGAGGGGGAGGTAGGGGCGCGACGGGGGTGCTTGTGGCGGTCGCGGCGCGGCGGCACTGGGTCACTTTCATCGCCGGCAGGGCTGACAGTGAGCAGGCCGAGGTTGTTGCAAGAGGCAGGAGGACGACGCAAGCCCCGATAATTGGTCAAGCGCATGGGCTAGCCGCAAGCAGCAGACAATGCACGTGTGAGACGCGCTGGACTGAGGGAGCGCACCGTCCCAAAACTGGGGCGCCACCGGCTCCGCCTCATCCTCCTCCTCTGTCCCCTCGGTGCCGCGCGCTGCAGAGGGCGTTTTCATGCCGCCCCGCCGCCCTGCGCTGGCCGGCCAGCGGCCGTGCGCCGGCGGGCTCCCGCAAACCCCAGTGGGCGCCGTGGCGGCGCAGCTGCTGCTGCCCAGCGCGCCCGTGGCTGCGGCGGCCGGGTCGGACGACCGCCGCCGGCTGCAGCCCTTCGCGCTCTCCGGCCTGCTCTGGTGCTGGCCGTGCGACGTCCAGGCGGCATCCGGTTGCAGCCCCTTCACGCTGCTGGCCCCGCTCCCGCAGTCAGTGACGACGCCCCCCTTGCCATGAGCGCCGTGCGCCGCCTCCTGCGGGGCTTGGCGCCCGCTGGTGCTGCTGCCGCTGGTGCTGCTGCCGCGGCTGCTGCTTCCGCGCCTGCTGCCGCCGCCGCCACTCGCCCCGCGGCCCCGCTCCCAGCCAACGGCGTCCACCTCAGCCTCCGCTGCCACCGAGCTCTGGCGTGAGAGCGCGCCGCTCGACGTCGCTCGGTCGCCGTGAGAGGCGTCGCGACCGTGCGGCTGCGTGGCCGCCCACACAGCCGCCACGGCCGGCGCCGCTGTCAGTGCCGCGGCACGCGAGGCGCCGTGAGAGGACCGGCGCGTCAGCAACGAATTGAGGGATGCTGCTGATGTGGCGGACGGCCTGCGCTGCTGCTGCTGCTGCTGCTGCTGCTGCTGCTGCTGCTGCTGCTGCAGGCGATATTCAGGATGATAAGGCGTGTCGTCCTCTTCGTGCTGCACCTCGCATTCCTCAAACCCCTCCTCGGATTCCTGCTTGGGCGACTCCGCCCAACCCCCTGCCCACTGGCTCGCTGGCTGCTGCTGCTGCTGCTGCTGCTGCTGGTGCTGCTGCAGCTGCGGCTGCTGCTGCCGCCTCCACGCATCCCCTGCCGCCACTGGCGGCCTTTCTGCAGCCCCTAGCCTACCGCCTGCAGATGCGGACGCTGCTGACAGGGGCGCCTCCCCCTCATCCGAATCCCCCTCCTCATTCTCTGGCCCGCCCGAGCCCCTGCTGCCCGGCCCAGCGCGTGCCTGCTGCGGCGGCGCATCAGCCCTGTTTGTGGCGCCCAGCTGGCTGTCCCTGCAGCCATCCTCTCCTAGGACCGCATCAAGCTCCTCCGATAAGAGGCTATCTTCTCGGCCAACGAGCGGCGCGCCGGCAGCCACATTGCCCGCATCGCTGGCACCGCTGTGTCGGTGAGATTTCGGCCCGGAGTAATGGGCCGCCGCAGAGACCCCAGTGTGCTCCTGCAGCGGCGCGTCGGCGGCGCGGCGGAGGGCGGGGGTTGTGGGTGCCGCGCGTGTGATGCGGGGCTGCAGCGCGCAGCGGCAGAGCAGCGGTATCGGCGCAGCCAACAGACCTGAGGCTCAGACGCTTCGCTGTGAGCATCCTCTTCGTGATCCTGGGCGTTATTGGTTGGGTGGCAACGCTTTTGGTCGGCTGCTGGGCAGCTAACAAGTGCTTGCGGCGCACCAGCGACCAGCAGCGGGCAGTGTTGGGGGGCGCATGCGCGTGTGCGCACGGGGGCGCCCGAATCCAAGCAGGGTTCCAGCCACATCGCTCACCACCTCCCAGTCTTCGCTGATGGAAGCGGACTCCATGAGCGAGTGCGCGGTCAAACCGAGCGATGGCCACAACGCAGTCAACCCGCGCAAAATCCGTAGATTGCGATCATGGAGTTGTTGTAATTATATGTGGGGACTCTACAAGCGGCTTGCAGACACACCGCAGGTTGCGAGGGTGGCGACTTGCGCCAAGTGCTGCGGTGCTTGTGAGGTGGCCAGCATGTTTTCATGTGGGATTTGCCATTACGGTAAACAGAGATCTTTTGTCGACAATACCGTAGTAAAAGTGCGTTTCCCGTCCCCTCGGGGATCCTTCGGGGCTCCCGTGCTGACCTGGCCGCCTGGCGGTCAACAACGGGCATCGTCATTGTGATGCTTCATACTATGTGCATGTGCATGCTTGTGCACTGGCCAGCTGATGCAGCTTGCTGCAAGGGCATCTTTTGACCCGCGCCCACTCTCCTACGGTATAGTTGTTTACCATACAGGGATTCTTGTTGACGTCACGCACGCCCGCCCGGCGGGGGTGCGTGCCGCCCGGCCGCCCGGCCGCTCCCGGTCTGTTGCCGCTTGAATCATGCAGTCATGTGTGCTGCCTGCGGGTGTGATGATCACGTGTATGCAGAGATAGACGAAATTCCGTCGAATCATGCATGCAGTAACGATGGCGATTACCGTGGGGCGCCCAGAGTGGTCACCACCGTAGACACCGCACACGGCAGATGTGGCAAGGAGTAGTATGCTCAAAGCGAGTGGGGTATCCCTGCCCGTACCCGCGCCACCGGTACCCGTAGATACACTAAATCACCTGCGCGGTAGGCGGCAGGCCGACCGGGGCAGCACACGTCTTGAGCCGGTGTCGTTGGGGCCGAAAGTATTGTGCGGCGAAGTGGCAAGGTGCGTGAATGCTGTGGCGTGTGCGGGTGTCCACGGTGGGCTGCTCCAGAGATGCAGAGATAACAAAATAAGAAGCCCCTGTCGCATCATGATATGTTCATGTACATTTGAGCTCCGGTGACACGGACGACACGTGTCCGCTCTGCGCCATAACCTGTTGCTTTCTCTTATGTATACATTGAAGCACGATCTGGACTGCGGCGGACGCTGAGCGCGGGGGCCTTTAGTCAGGGGCCCAAAATTCACCGAGGATTGCCGAGGGGATTTGCTTATGGGAAACAGGCTGGCTTTGCTTATAAGAATCAGGCTGCACATGTACCTTTCTACTCCTCCACAACTGCGGCAAAGGTCTTGGCTTCGCGATCGCAAGGTGGGCCTGGGTAGAGCCCACACCCGGCTCACGATGGCCTGTGGGCCCAAGCAAGAGTATCTCGCCTCACGCGTTTCTTTCCATGTATGTCCTGGACCTCTCGACTCGGCGAGGGCCCACCCAGGGTGCGGGCTCAACACGGCTGTAGAGCCAGGGGCTCGCGGCGGCAGGCTCACAGGCCTCAATGGCCTTGCATCGCTCTTCCTGCAGGATGGTCCTCAACAGCTTCAAGGTGGAGAACCACACTGGGGTTGCCCTCAAGTTCCGCAACCTCCGCGACCGCGGTGACGATTATGACATCCCGGCCTACAAGTCGAGGAGCCACGATGCGTGGTTGGGGCAAACCAGGGCCTTCGGCTGCGAACTCCTCGCGCAGCACGTGCCCACCCGCGTCGCCGCCGACGCCGTGCTGGCAGGCGGCGAGGATGTGTCCACCAAGGCCACAATCCGAATCGTGCTGATCTGGGACAACAGCTGGAAGCTGCATGTGGACGTCGATGGCGACGACAACAACGCCGGGATCGATGTGGACGGGAACAAGGACTTCCACATGCGCGTGTACTGGAACCGCGTGGAATTCCACTGCTACAACGGCGTGTTCAAGGCTGGCAGGGACGACGGCGTCGTCAAGTTCAGCCTGGCCGCGCGCCTGCCCCCTTACAGAGATGCCGACAACATGTTGGAGGCCAGCGAGGGTGCGCCGACGTACCCTCAGAGCGTGCCGCCCGCCCTCGAGCACTGATAGGCTGGTGCGCCAAATCGGCGCATTGGACAGGCACCGACACAATGCCATTGGCATGTGTGCATTGATGTGCTACAAGCCAGTCGCGGCCCGGCCCCGCTGGATCAGGCAATTATGGTGCTTCCCCCTTTGCCATGGGAGGGTTGGCTGCGCGCGCGCGGCCAGGGGCCCGCCCCTTGCGCCCGGGGTTTGCCGGCGGCCCTTTCGGCGTGCTTTGCCTTGGTTTGCACGCCCCCACCGAGCCCTCTTTGCTCACCAACTAACAGGGCGCTCAGCCACGCCTGCACTCACCCGTGGCAGCCAGAAGCTGGCAGCTGGCCGCCGCAAGCCGCACCCCAGCTCTTGTGTGGGGCCGGGGGAGTCAGCGGGCATGTTGGCAGCACTGGCACCCCCCCCACTGGCTTGCGCGACCGCGCTTTGACACGCGCGCCGCCGCGCAAGCGCCCCTTCGTATGACATTCACGCATCGCGGTCACACACGTGCATGCGCGCGGCGGCTGCTCACAGCTTTCGCCCGCCGCCCCTTGGCTGGGGCCGGAAGCCGCTGCGCCAAGCGCCCGCTGGTCGCGTCAGCTGACACTGACTAATACTTGTCAGCTCCTCGTCCGCCTAGCTCCAGCCGCGGCTGCTGCGGGACGCACGGCTGCCTCGCAGCCGCACCTTGTGCCCAGCTTTCACGCCCGTTCATTAGGGCCGTCCCCGCGCGCACACCCCACCTTGTCGCTTGGCGCGCCCCGAGCGCACCCACCGCATTGCGTTTCCTGTTGGCCCGAAGCCCAGAGGCTAGGGCGCACTCGTTCTCACGGGCCTGGGTGCATGCCTGCACGCACCCGTGACGGTGTTCCATCCCAGGTGCCTCCCCCCTTGCGAGGTGTGCTGTCGCGCGTGCCCCGCTGGACGCGGCTTGGCTTTCTGGAAGTTGGCGCCGAACTGTAAGCAGTCATGACTTACACACACTGGATCCCCAGAACACCGGGCTCACCGCAATTGTCGTGGGCAGCAGGGCCACGGTGCACGCAGGTCTTTGCCTTAGCCACAGGGCGCCGAAGGCTTCGCAGCAGCGTGTCCGTCAACTTAGGGCCGCAGGTGGCGGTACGCGTTCAACCCAAGCTAGTAAATCCTTGCAGTTGTTTGCTGCGTTCGGCTCATGCCATGGTGGTCGCCTCACCACTGGGGCCAGAAAATGAAGGCGGGGCAGGGGTTGCGGGCACGGCGTCAAAGGGGGTTGGGGGCGAAAACCGCCGGCACGCGGCAAACGCGGGGGGAGGGGGCTGATGCCTCTGGGCTGCGTGCATGGCCTGCCAGTTGCCACGTTGGTCAGGGCGCCTGCAGGGTGGCGCCTATGATGGGCCCGCCACGCGCACTGTGTTTCTTGAGATGCGCCCCCGCCATTGCGGTGCTGGGCGAATAGGGTTCCGCGCCGCCGACAAAGTAGGGTCACAAAATCACAGGCCTGAGCCCCCAACCGGACGCACGAGCACGCGTGCGCACCCGAATATGCAAACCAAGTTCGCTGCGTAGTTACACATTTGGAGTGCTTGGGGGTGCACCCAATGGGTTGGGGGCATGAGCCAGGTTCCCAGCTGGTGGGCACCTAGGGCTTGTTTCTGCAGTTGGCACGCGTCTGCTGCCCGCCATTGCTGATCACACTGCCGCAGCCGCTGCATTTAAGCTTGCGCGGCGCTGATGCCTCGACGCGTGCCGCCTCGGCCGCACGCTTGCTGCTGCTGCTGCTGCTGCTGCTGCTGCTGCTGCTGCTGCTGCTGCTGCTGCTGGTGCCGCCCTGCTGCTGCTGCGGCAGCGGCAGCACCAGTGATGGCTCCGTGCCGAACATGGCTGCATGCCGCCGCTGTTGCTGCTGCCACTGCCTGGCCCGCCGCCAGTTGCGGCAAGCCAAGAGGCACCAGGATGTGCTGCGCCGTCGCCATTAGGCTGCCCATGCCAGGGCTGCCCATCAGCAGTGGCGCGCTCACGCAGCAGGCCTTCACCAGGCCGAGCCGCGATAGATAGATAGATAAGTTACTCATACCCGCCATAGCATCACTGCCATCGGCCTCGCGCTCATCATAGCGGACCTCCTCG